AAATTTGAATATACCTAAATGCCTCATGAGCCTACCAGAAGCTAGTTCTGTTTCTCTTTAAGCAACTAAATTCTTTCCAAAACCCTAGCCAACATCTGCTGTCCCTTGAAACTTTACAGACAGCATCCTTTGCCATGTGCTGTACATTCTTTATGTCCAGCTAAATATACACTGCTTTTATGGATGGAGGGACAGGGTATTGGGAGAGCTCATCTTCATTTTTCAAATCAATGTTATAAACATAGTTTAAGGCAGTGTCCCCAAGTGATGAAAATATTCCATTTCAGTGAATGGTTAAAAAAAAAAAAAAAAAAACAAAACACAAACCAACAAATAAAAAACACCCCACAACCAGCCATCAGACCACTCTACACCAGAAGAATTAGCATTTACAAAAGTGTAAAAACGTGCATTTTCTCTGCGGCAAGTGTAAACTGTAGAACTAACAACACAGTAACAGAGTATGCAAAAAGGGGTATGTATCTTAGACAGAGCTTACTGATTCTGCATGATTATTTCCTATCATATTTAAATTAATTTTACAGCTTTCACCTCAGTAGTTTTTTCTGATCCTTACCTAGATTTAAGAGAAGTTTTTTGCAACAGAAATTTGAAGTTTGATCTGAGCCATCTTATCTCTGGTACAATTAAAGGCAGAAGTGAGAAAACACATCAACAATTTCTCCTGAGGAGCAGGCACTGGAGGACTGAAAATATTCTTGCAAGACCGTATGCTTGCTAAGAAAGTGCACCTTAAGGACTGCCAACATTGTTGGGCAGCTATGGCTCTGCAAGTGGTCAGGAGCCAACGGGCAGTTCCAGCTGTGGCAAGAAGGCAGAAGACATTAAAGATGTTACGTCCCCCACAAGCAGCACAACACAGGCCAGCTGGCACTCATGTCCCACTAGTGAGGAAGTTAATACCTCTTCTTTTTTCCTCATTAAGTCACAGCAAGTTCACAGACAAGACAGCTGACGACAATCAGAACTTGTTGGTACTAGAATTTGTTTCCTCTTGAGAACAGGGCTTTCCTGGGAAGCATTCTTCTGTTAGCACCATCATGCAGATATATCCCAGGCCTAAGTGCATCTTTCCATCACATTTGGCATTCATTCAGCCTGGGAGATGCAGTTATTACTCAACTGGCACTTCCCATTTGAAAACTGTTGTAAAAAAAAATGAATACACTTTAAGCCACCTCTTCCACTGTGTCATTTCACTCCAAGAAGTGAAAGCAAGCCCCATTCATGGCTTCTGCAAAAAGGGAGGCTTGTATTATGTAATCTGTGCTGTTGTTTTCTTACTGCTCCCAAACTACTGCATCACAGTTTCAAGACAAGGGCCTCCTTTCAGCCATAGAATCGTAAAATAAGCTGAGTTGGAAGGGACCCATCATGACCACCAAGTCCTGTGCAAGACAGTCCTTTCACCAGGCAGCAAAACGTTGCTCAGTAAGCACGGCAGTGACCGCTGCGTTTCTGCCCTGGCAGGCTATCTTTAGAAGCCAGCTCCAGCCTGGTTTCCTTTGGCTTAGCCCAGAAGCTGCAATACTGAAAATCTTCTGTGCAGTTAGCAAAGGGAGGCACACACTTCCCACAGCCATCACTGGTGGCTGAGGTACTCAGAGGAGGTGGAAATTCAGTGCTTACACTCTGATGGACAGCTTGATCCCTGATGGACAGCCTGATCCAGTGCCCAAACAGGTTTTTTTACTTACAGCATCCAGGAAGTACAGTCAAGTCAGAAGCCATTCAAGCTTCAATGGCCAAGTAATACCCAACTCCTCTGACTCCTGATTCAACCCTGTAGCAACCAAGCCTGCACCCAGAGGGCTAGCTCTCACCCCACCCTGCTTTTAAGCACCATCCGCAACCTGCCTTGCTCATCTCTGTAATGAAGAGAATAAACGTTTGGATGCATTAGCATCACAGGAGTCTGTGGTCTCGAACAGAACCTGACAAAACAGCAAGAAACATCTCAGAGCAAGGAGGAGCTGCACTCAGAGAAAGTATCTGGAAACATACTGCAGAAGGATAATTCAAACAGTGCCATTCCTGAGAGGAATGGAACACTTACATCCAGAATGAAAGTGTGAGGCAGACACTTCGAGCTCTTTCATCTAACAGAAGAAAATTATTCCTAATACACGCGCCCCCTAGCAAA